CACACACACACACACACACACACACACACACACACACACACACACACACACACACACACACACACACACACAAAGCATCAGAAATGAACAAATGAAAGCGCGAATGAACCCACCTCAGGTCATGTTGGTGCGCTCGATTGCAGAGTCCAAGCGTCCAACCATTTGGATGCAGAGCCCTTCCCAATGCACAGTTCAATCTCCATCCCGACCAAAAGCCTGGGAACAACAATCTCTTTCTGTGCGCGTGTATGCGTGCGTGTGTCACAGAGAGAGAGAGAGAGAGAGGATGGCGCGTTTGTGTGTGTGCCTGACTGTGCCTGACTGTGCCAGACTGTTTCGTCAGACTTTCACCGACTCATCAGGAGGTAGAACCCTGACCGTCTGTTTGTGTGCGCATACGCGCGCGCGCTGTGTGTGTGTGTGTGTGGGTGTGGGTGTGTGGGTGTGTGTGAGTCGGTGTAGAACGCGTAGAGTAGCATAGAACAGCGCAGAGTCCAGTCAACAGCGTCGTCGAGTAGTTTAGTGTGTCTGTAGGTTAGTGTCGAGAGGCCGGGGCAGTGCAAACGGTACAGTTGGTTACTAAATGTTCCACACGTGCGTTGGCCCGGTACAGTTCGAGGGACCGGCGCTGGCCCTGTAGGCATGCGGGCATGCTAATGCAGATGCCGGAGTAGGCACGCGGGCATGCTAATGCGCGATGCCGGGGTAGGCACGTGGGCATGCTGGTAGAACCCCGACTGTCTGTTTGTGTACGTGCGCATGTGCGCCCGCGCGTTGTGTGTGTGTGTGTGTGGGTGTGTGAGTCTGTGTAGAACGCGTAGAGTAGCGTAGGACAGCGCAGAGTCCAGTCGACAGCGTCTTCGAGTAGTTTAGTGTGTCTGTAGGTTAGTGTCGAGAGGCCGGGGCAGTGCAAACGCTACAGTTGGTTACTAAATGTTCCACACGTGCGTTGGCCCGGTACAGTTCGCGGGACCGGCGCTGGCCCTGTAGGCACGCCGGCATGCTAATGCGCGATGTCGGAGAAGGCAGGCGGGCATGCTAATGCGCGATGCCCGGGTAGGCACGTGGGCATGCTAATGCGCGATGCCGGGGTAGGCACACGGGCCCGGTACAGCGCGTGGTACTGGCACAGACGTGGCGCGGAGCATTACCGGCCCTGGCGCGGTGCTGCGACGGTTCAACTTCTAAGACAAAACGATCAGCAGATGATCGGGACCATCGCGCAGAAAAAGATCAGAGGGCCCCGATCGTCTGCTTGTCACAGGCAGGAAATTAGCAATAGTTATCTATGTAGTGATAGCCCAGCTTGTGACTTCGCTTATTAAGCCGCTAGTACATAGCCAGCTCGTGACTTCACTAATCAAAACACCAGTACTCCGAAACGGAACCCCGGCGCTTCGGCAAAAATTGGCGCGCAGGGGCATTCCAGGCTCGGTATCGATAGCTAGGCCAAGTACTGGTGGTTTAAACTGCTATTACACAGCCCCAGCCTTGTGGAGATTTGCTTGTAATCAGCCAAAAAAGATAAAAATTTGTCGCTGGCCTAGGAAGTTTTTTATGCACAGCCGGGCACCCGGACGTGACGGCCAGGGTACCCGGGCGTGCAAAAATAAAATAAAAAATCCAGGCTCGTTTCATTTTTTTGAGAGTTGGCAGTCGAGGGGAGAAAAGAGGGGTATAAATTGTTTTTAAAGAGGTTAAAGGGGGGTCCTTCAGTGTGATCATGATGTTGTTATTTTCTTTTCATCTCCAATTCGGTGAGGAATTCTGATGTGCCCCTCAGCCAAAAGTTGTTTGTATTGCAATTCTACACTTAACATTTTTTTTCTGGAATTTTTTGACTTCTGTTTTTTTTTTTTTTTTTTTTGGGCTGGGGCTGCCCGGAACCCTGCCCGGGGGTCATGCCCAGCCGGGCACCCGGGCGTGTATCCATGCAAGAGTTGGGTGCCCGGGCGCCCTGAAAAACAACCTAGCCGCTGACGATTCCGAAAAGCTCGGTATGCAGAGCAGCACCGCCAGGCTCAGGTGTGCTGGTGGTTTAAGGGACAACTTCAGTATCCATCATCAGGGTTGCGAGTCGATGATAGCCATTAAACCACCAGTACTTGGGCACTGCGCGCCGCGCCGGCCCCCCAAATCTCGAAGCATCGCGGGCTGTCGATTCTATTTACTGACGGCCCGCCGGCCGCGGAAATCGCGTAACGTTAACGCTAAGGCGTCGCCCAAGTACTTAAACCACCAGTACTTGGCTATCATCGACTCGGCTATCGGCCACAGGAGAAAGTATTGTTGGTCCTTCGGGACATCCGCTAAAATTGGAACGATACAGAGAAGATTAGCATGGCACCTGCGCAAGGACAAAAAAAAATAAAAATAAAAAAATTGTTGGAACGTTTGTAGTCGGATGAATTTGGGCGCATCCTGTAGTGCCCCGTTGCCGCCGCCAGCCAATTTGGACCAGTGGCCCCAAGCCTCGAACTTCTTTTTTATTGGCTCGGGGTTTCGAGCCTCAACTTTTGCTAGGCGATAGTACGGGTGGTTTAAAACCACCGGTACATTCTCGCCTCTTTTCCGTCTCAATTCCCAAGTTCTTTTTTTTGTTTTTTTGAAGTCCAGGGTGTTGTAGAGGTCGGTTTCTGGACCCACGACGGGTACCTATCTACACTCAGCAACTAATTTATGGGATGCAGATTCCCAAATTTTCCTAGGCGAAACTACAGGTGTTTTAAAACCACCAGTACATCGTAGCCTCTTTTCGCTAAGGCTCATTCCACGTTCGCGCCAAGCTATGCCAGACCGCCATCGGAGCGCTTTTTCTCTTCTTTGTGGTGGTGCTGCCAGCAATTTCGGACCGGTAGCCCTGAGCTTCCGAAATTCTCGGATCGGCTCAATTTCGACTCTCAATCTGTGCATGAGCAATGTACAGGCAGACAGCGCCGTAATGAACAAGGTCCGAAAAGGCCTGCGTCAAGTTCATTTTCTATTTTATTTGATATATCTTTAAGCCCCTAGTAGACGGGCGGTTTCCCGATAGGAAATCCATGGATCAAACAGAGCTTCTCCCCATGGCGTTTCGCCTTTCATTGCGTCCTTTCTTTCTCAATGCCAAGGCATCCACCCAATGCATTATTTTGGATATAGCAGGGCCCTTCGCTACTTCTTCCCCAGCCTTCGGGAGATTTGCTTTTCACCTACTCCAAACTTCCCGGGCTCGGGGCTACCAGACCGTGCTGGCTGGCAGCGCCAGACACAAAGAAAAGAAGTGTGCAGCCGGTGCTTCGGAAATGCCTGGCACGCAACCACACCACCAGTTCGATGGACCCGAGAGGAAATACTCACAGCAGCATCTTCCATGCATGACTGCAATTACCACCGCACCTCGATGAATCTCACCACAATCACGTCCAGAGATACGTAGAAAATGTCCTGGTGTGAGTATATGCCCTTGCTGTGTCAAACCTGATTTCACACCAGCTCTCACCTTCTTTTTTTTTTCCAGCAACACCAGCCCCTTCTATTCTGGGCGGCATCAGTCCGATTGCTTACCACCGGCAAGCACCGTTTTTTATACAATTTGAAACAAGCCAGGGGGGAGAACAGACAGAGAAGAGAGACAGCCTGCCCTTGTGGCTCAAACCGCCTATTCAAACGGGGGGGGTTACCACAGCGCCCACCCCTCCCGCCTTTTGGCCTTTCCTTGGAGACTGTCCCGCAAGTCGGGAAGCTTGCTAGCAGCACCCAATCACACTGCCGGATAACGTCCAAGGGGTCGAGCACGGGGGAGGTGTATGCCCTGCCAAATCCATCTGGCCGCATGTCACTTCCTCCATTCATTTCCACAGTTCCACCCTAATTGCCTAGGCTTTTTTTCTTTTTTTTTTTGCCTAGGCTCTACCTTCCCTCTGCCTCACTGAATCCATCTGGCCGCATGTTACTTGCTCAACTCATTTCCACACTTCCACCCTAATTGCCTAGGTCTACTTTTTTTTTTTTTTTTTTTTTTTTTTCCTTTTTGCCTAGGCTCTACCTTCCCTCTGCCTCACTTTCCCATTCACCACATCTACAGATTCTACACTCTTTAGACCTTCCTGTCCACCATCTCCTCCCTTCCAATTCCCTTGAACTTATACCTGACCTCCTCCTCCTCTCCCTGAGTACTGTTACACTTGTCCTTTCACCAGATCCCTTCATTTATTTTTTCTCCCCTTTTTGATAAAAAGGACATCCCTCAGGCCTGGACAGACAGAGCCAGGCTGTACTGCCCATCTGCTACACTAATCGGAACAACCGAGATGGGCAATGTACTGGGGGTTAAAGCACCAGTACACCACAACATATCGGCCCGCGGGTGTCAGCATGAAATCCGATTTCTTCATTCAACGGCGGGCCTGGCCGCATGGCGCCTGCGAGTTGGCGACAAAATCTTTCTGCAAGGCTGGGATGTGCTAGCGGTTTTTGCCACCAGTATATGCCAGCCATCGGCCACGGGCCCCTTTTCAAGGCCGCACACTGTCGACGGCACGCGAGCCTCCAAAATTTTAGGACAGGCTCAATCAGACTCTCAACTTGGCCGGGGCCATGTATTACTCGGAGCCACTCCTAAAATTTTGGAGGCTCGCATGCCATCGACAGTGTGCGGCCTCCAAAAGGGGTCCGTGGCCGATGGCTGGCATATACCGGTGGCAAATTTTTGAGACTCCAGATGCCCCATACTTTGACATGGACGCAGAGCTGCACTGAGAAATCAAATCTTTTCCTACTTAGTGCTGTGATCCAGAGACTGTCCCTACACCCAAAGCTGGTCACCACAACTTCTCTGTTATTTTCCAGGTGCACGTGTACATATATATACATGAACCC